AGCTGAAGATCATCAGCGTACTGATAGCAACACACTTCCAAACTTTGGATAACTCCATCCAGTGGTTTCATGTAGCTCTTGAACAGCATGTGGGACAAAACTGACCTCTGAGGAACCCCATACTGAAGGGCCTACAGCGTTGAACAGCATTCCTGAAGCACCACCTCTTAGAGCTGGCCATCCAAGGAGGAGGAGAACCAGTACAATGAAGTAGCCTCCATTTCTGGCTCAGGCAGCTGCTCCAAGTTTTCTATTGAAAACTGTTCCGGAAGCTCAATAGGATCAGCCTTCCCCAGTCTTCCTCCCAACATAGCTTTTCATACAGGAAAACCAAAACTGCCCAAAACCTGCTTGAGCCCCAGGTCCTGCTTTCGTCCAAGAGTGCCTGGAGCTGGTTGGCCACCCTCTGCTCAAGGACTTGCCTAGGAAGGGAACATTTACCACCATCCTAAATTTATTGAGGTCTTCTGGGTCCAAGGGGGGCTTATTTAGGAGTGGTCTCAGTGGACATGGGACCACTCCCACTCCTCTTTTTTTTTAAATAAATTTTTATTGTTTTCTCTACAATCTAACTTTAAAAACAATGGTTATTTAAGACTTTGGATATACTGGGTTGACATCTTCCTCATTTTAACAGTCAGTAGCCATATTCAAATCTACACATAGTCCTGTTTCTCTAGCTAATAGTAGAAAGAGTTCCAGGTTTGGTAGAAGGGACCACTCCCACTCCTAAGTGTTCAACTGCTTGGCTCAGCCAGTTGTTTCTTGCCTTCTGGCTTTTATAAACGAGGAGGGGCAAGGATCCAGTACGAAAGTTCAAGTATCTTGTCCATCTCCTCAAGCTGTACCAACAAAAGCACATCCAAAAACAACTGGGCCAGGCTGTGCTTTGGGTACCGTACCTCATTCAGCTGCCATAACATGCAAGTCTAAGCCCTGGTGGAAGCAAGAAATATCGTCCCAGAAGTGCCTAGCAGGCCTCAGCTGGATCTGAGGTGTCCTTGAGGCTGGCACATAATAGGGCCTGGAAGACCACAAGAAGCTCTGCTGGATGGCCAACGGAGGACTGGGCAGAATCAGTGAGGTGTTGATTCTGGGTTGCCTTCACTTCTCCTGAGTATGCCTGATCATCGGCGCACGCCGAGTGTCGACTGCGTCCGCTTGCAGTTTTCCTCCGTTTCTGTTTAAGCCGCCTCTTGTGTTATTGCATCGCTCTCAGCTCAGGGCTATGCCATGGAGCCACACAAACTCTGCTGCAGAGCCTTCCACAAAATACCTCTTCAGGCAGACCGTCCAATCTAAGTGTGGTCACACCGAAGATTTGGACAAAGGCAACACGATCTTAGCCATTTTATTTCCAGTTCACTTCCTAACTATGCGCAACATGGAACTGGCAAGCTCTGGTCCCACCAGCTAATAGTTGAACTTAGAGGGTTTTGGCCCAATGTTCATCACTTCACACATGCTTGCACTGACATGCACTGACCTTTTCAATGCTTTTAAGTAATTCCGGCAGGCGATCCCACTCCCCGCTCTGTTTTCCAGTATCCTGGGCTTGCTGCGGCCACTCACTCTTGGTCTGCATATTTCTTGACCTTCAGGGTCAAGCCCTCCAACATCTGCATATTGCTGAAATGCAAGACATTCCCCTGAGTCTGCTGTCCTCCCTTCTTTGTGCTGCAGTCTGGCTGTCAAATCAAGTCAAGTTGCAACAAGCCAGATTCAGGCTGGACATCAGGAAAAGCTTCCTCACTGTCAGAGCAATACGACAGTGGGACCAGCTGCCTGGAGAGGTGGGGGGCTCTCCCACACTGGAGACATTCAAGGAGAAACTGGACAGCCATCTTAGTGGGATGGTGTAAATTGGTGTCCTGCAGCAGCAGCAGGTTGGACTCGATGGCCTCCATGGCCCCTTCCAACTCTACTATTCTGTGATTTCATCATTCTGTGATTCCTGCCGGAGTTCAGTATTAGAGAGCATCACAGATATAATTGTGCTACACAGTAAGAAAAGAGGGGCAAAGAAAAACTCTTCTGGACTGTCCTGCAACACCAGACTGCTTAAAGTGTTATTCTCTCTCCCCAGAGAACCATGGGATTTGTAGTTTTACAGAAAGCCAGCATTAACAAAGAATTCTTCTCTCCTATATGAAAAAAGTTTGTGGTTTTTTTGGGGAAGCATAGTACAATAAAATCCTAATAAAAATAGAACACTGGCACAGGAAGAGGAAGCTATATTTGCACATGTGCACCAACACACACTTGGACACTCATCTCCCAGGGACTCTGTGAACCCAGACTTTATTTTCCAGAAAAAGAAAGAGCATAAGGGAGATGCATTAATCTCACTTCAGTTCATAGGAACGCCATACTCATTTCTAGATTATTTAAAAAAACCAAAAACTGTCTGATTCCGCACATGCCTCAAAGTCCTGCAAAATGAATGAACCAGACCCTGTTTCCTTGCCTTGATTTAGAAAGAAGCCATTCCTAAAGAAAGCAAAATCTCTGACTAGTCATCATTTCCATGTGATGCAGAGAAACTGAGTCAGGGAAAATAAAGTCCGAGGGCTGCCCACCAAGCACAGGATTGCAAACGGCTGGGACTGGAGACCGGCACAGGTTGGCATCAGCCGAAGCCCTCACTCCAGCTGGGGTTGACTGGCTCCTCTGCTTCTCCATGCCCTGGCTGCCCAGCCGTTGTTGCTGCTGCTTCCTCTACTGCAAGCACACACACTCCAATTCAGACAGGGCCCACTGCAGGCCAGAAGGAGAGGAGCCATCCTTCTCACGGTCTCCTTATTTTAAAGCTTCCAGTGATGCCCATGGAGACTTGCCTTGCGTGCCCCAGTATGTATGCAGGCAGGAAGCAAAGGGCAGATAGGGAAGGCTCAGGGCTGCCCTCCCGGTGTGCAACAGTCCCGATCTGAATGAGGAGCGTGGGCACGTGCTCGAGAGCAGGGCAGGCCGGTGCGTCTTCTGCCTGGGGACTCTTCACCTTCTGCCGCTTGTATGCTGAGCTGGGAAGGCGCTATCCGTGGTGGCGAGCCATGTCAGGGATGGCATTCAGGACCACGGGCAGCTCCTAGAAAGCGCAAGGGGTGGAGTGGGCCCTCGGCACAGGTGTCCCCAGCCTCCCCTGCTGGAGCATAAGACCCCCTTTAGCCTCAACTTGGTGCACGACACTTAGCGCAACATGTAGCTTGACCCTGGGCAAGGAGGATGGCATGCTTTGCTTTGGTCCTTCCCCTGGGCCTGGACCCCGGGAAAGAAGGCAGCAGCACCTATGTTGTAAGCCGCCCCAAGGCTTCGGCGAATGGGGCGGCATAAACATGTTTTAATAAATAAAATAAAATAGTGTCTCTTTCTGTGTACACCTGCCTGGACTTTAAGACCTTGTTCTGAGGTCCATCTCTGGGAGCCCTCCTTGAAGGAGACTGGAAGAGCGGCTGCCCGGAGAAGGGTCTTTTCTGTGGTGGCGCCTCGGCTCTGGAATCTGCTCCTCTGAGAGGTGCACCTGGCTGCCGATGCTTGATGCTTTTGGGCACCAGGCCAACCCCTTTTTCTTTTCCCAGTATTTTAAGTGTTGATGGGTTTTCTTATATTGCCATTTTACCCCTATACATGCCGTTTTAAGGCACTGCTACTGTTTTGTGAGCCATCTTGAGACACATTGTGGGGCAAAAATGTTTTAAATAAATTAAAATGTTTTTAAAATAAACACCAATGTGGTATCTTACCCAGGGATTCCCCACACCTGAGCTGACACCATATTTGCATTCATTTCCAAGGGCACCATCCAGTGCCCAGGCATGGCAGTTGCAGCCGTCCAGAATGGCTGGACTCGATCACAACTCTGCAGCCCTGGCTGAAGAAGCCTGGGAACAACCGTTGCCTGGCTTCCTTCTAGCTCAGTCAGCTCGCTCCCACCAAGCTCCAGCAGCTGCGCCACTAAACACGCGTGAAACGCATTTATGTTTCCAATAGAACGGAGTGACTGGGAGGAAACACAGACTGAGCAATAAATTGCTGCTTGCAGCTGCTTGGTGAGCTGGTTGTTCAGAGGGGAGGCCAGGGGGAATTTGGCACCTTGGCAGGTGATTCCTGCCCTGGCTCCACACCCCTGAAAGGCAGGAAAGGTGCCCTTCCTTATCTCTGCCCTAATCTTAATCTGGTGTGGATTAATTCCTTCTCTTTTCTCCTCCTATATTATTTATTTACTTATTTTATACTGTTAATTTTAATTTTATATTATTATGTTTGAAACTCAGTGTATTTTTTGTATTTTTGTATTTAATGGTAATTTATTATGTTCTATTGTATTTCAATGTATTTTATTGTGTTGTAAGCCTCGGGGCGGCTTACAA